CTGTCTCTTATACACAGAGCACAAGCAAGAATGGATGCCCTGAAAGCAGAGCTGGAGCTAGATAATATTCAAGTACAGGAAGCCTTAGCCGCAGCCGAAGCCAGAGCTTCTGTACTACACGAATACGACCAGGATAGTATTGGCACTAGCCCAGTGGGTTCACTATTGGAGTTACCGGTGGATGATCCACACGGCCGCACTTCAAATTATGTGACGGAGATTCAAGATGCTGATGATGAGTCGTTGGATGACCAGCCTCTGGATCAGCAAGAAACAGGTGGTTACCAGGTCAACACTAATAAGGAGGATTCAAAGAAAATGGAGTTGCAGTTAGCCTCTCATATAAGCAGAATCATGTTCAAACGGGACATAATCAAAACCAGCCTACCCACATTCGATTACAAACCAGAAACGTATAATTCTTGGAAACATAGTTTCAAGAGTAAATTGGAGGACCTTCAACTCTTGCCCACTGAAGAAATCGACCTGTTGATGAAGTATACGACCGGCCAATCAAAACAACAGGTGTTAAGCATTAGCATTGCCAACACAGCCAATCCTGAGTTGGGGCTAAGAAGAGTATGGAAAAGGCTAGATGAGAGGTATGGGTCGCCGGAGTGGGTTGAAACGGCAATCAGGAGAAAGCTTGATAGCTTTCCAAAAATTACCACTGATGTAGGAAAGTTGTATGACTTAGCTGACATTCTGGAAGAAATTGAGACATTAAAAGCTGACCCAAAATATGGCACATCCTTGTCTTACTTCGACTCATCAATCGGAGTCAAACGTATACTAGCCAAACTACCTCATAATATTCAGGAAAAATGGGTCTCCAATGCTGGAAACTACCTAGAACGAAAGGATGTCATCTACCCACCATTCAGCCACTTTTGCCAGTTTATAAGAAAACAAGCTAAAGTTAGAAACAACCCAGCCCTAACCGGACAGACGCCTCAAGCCAGAGAGCATAGGGTCTCTACTAGGAAAACCAACACTCAACCCGAGCACAAAGCCAAATGCCCTATACACAACTCAAACTCGCACACATTAAAGGAGTGTAAGAAATTTAAGACAGGATCTGCTCAAGAGAAATATCAGCAGTTAAAACCTATGCTTCAGGTGCCTAGATCCATCGCATCGCAGAAGAGCTTGCAAGGTGCTAATAAAATGCGAGGAATGCAGCAGTACAGATCATGTGACCTCAATGCACTCACACCAAGGCGGGGAGCAGGCAGCTGAGGAAAATAACACTCGCCAGCATAACATTACCACTGCCTGCGCACAAGTATGTGAGCAATGGCGGGCAAATCATGCGCAAAGATTGTTCCTGTGGTTGTCAGTCACAAACGTGATAAAACAGTGACTGTCCGAACATATGCGATAATTGATGACCAAAGTAATAAGTCACTAGTTTCGGAGAAGCTTCTTGACCTATTTGACGTCCAATATCAAGAAACAAATTATTCGCTCACATCCTGTAATGGAGTAATGCAGGCAAACGGCAGATATGCTAGTTAGACCTGCCACCAATGACTAAGTGTAATCAGCTTCCAGATGCAAGGGAAGAAATTCCGACACCAGCAGTGGCCATGCAACACCCTAATTTAAATGGTATAGCGCACCTTATCCCAGAGCAGGATGAACGCTGCTCCATCACACTGCTAATAGGAAGGGACCTCATCGAAGCACATCATGTTCTAGACCAGATAATTGGACCGGCGAGCGCACCGTACGCACAAAGGCTGCGATTGGGTTGGGTAATCATCGGTGAAACCTGCCTTGGAGGGTCCCACATGCCCAATTCCATTGGAACATAAAGAACGAGTATCATTATCCAAAACAATGGAAAGCCTTCAACATTGGACCCATGTCCCAACCAGATAAAGTGGAAGAGCTATTTGACAAGGGTGAGGATTCCATGAGTCTATCTAGGGAAGAGAAGCAGTTTGTCAATATCATGGAGGCTGAAGGAAAGCTAAGTTCAAATAATATGTGGACAGCTCCATTAC